CTAGTGAAAGGTGTCCCTTTCTGTGGTAGGGGGTTGGAACAAGATGGTCTTTACCCAAACCATGGGATTCCATGATGATTAAAATCAAACCAAAGATCCTTGCTGGGAATCAACCCAGGGATGATGGCTCGGAATGAACCGAGGCCACTAACAGAGCAAAGTGAAGATGTTGGCCAGGACCAAAGCAAAGACACTGGCTAAAAGAAAGGTTCAACCACATTCCCTTTTCATCCATCTCTTTTAAAAATGCTAATTTTGATGTCTCCCAGGCTGCCAGCAGCCCAGCCAGGCTCTACACCGCTCCCCAGCCCCTCCGGCGAGGCAGTGATGGTTTTTTTTCATTAACCTGACTGAACTAGCTGGGAAAAACAGAGACATTTTTCTGGCACAGTTTGGATCCCAAAAGGTCCATCCCGCTCCTGGCTCCAGAGCTAAGGGCAGCCTGGGGCTGTCTGCATCCCTCTGCTTGCATGGTACAGGCATGCCTGGAAGTTGGTTCAACTCCCCAAAAGCCCGTGGGCTGTTCCGAACCATTTGCTGTTTAACTCCTGACAGAGCCCCAGCACACAAATTCGGTGACGTTTTGCACAGAAAGTGCTTTCTGCTGAGTATTTCTCGCAAAACACACTGCTCATAGCTCCTGCACCAAGCACAGGGTTTGGCTGTTAAATGGTGATGCTCCTGTTCGCGGATATTCAGCTTTTAACCAAGGCTTACAGCAACCTCAAACCAAACAAATCCTCCCCAAAACTCTGTCTTTAGTCCCTGAGCTCATCAGAAAACTTCAAGATGTGGGGCTTTCTGAGGGGTTTGGAGTTGTTGGGGGTTTTTTTGACACCTGTTTGCACTGGTAAATCAGCTGTCTGAAGTGCAGAGTAATCCCATTCTTTACCCAACCTCAAAATTTAAAAAAATTAAAAAAACAATCCTCATGCTTTGAAATTCAATTCACTGCTTTTTTTTTCCTATTTTTTTTAAAGGCTGATTTTTCCTAGAAACATAAGATTTTTCATCCCTCTCTCAGCACACCCGAACTAGATTTAATCCCCAGAAGTAACACCAGGACAGAGAAAGCTGCAAAAAATCATGGTTTTCCTGCAAACCTAACAGCAATGCAACGGCTGGAGTTAAAACCCAGTCCCAAGACACCCACCCAAATTACACCCAGTTTCCAAACAGGACAGTAAACAATTTGTCTGCTGAGCTTTGAAGCCAAGGAAGCCACATTACAACATTTTTCTGTCCTGTGTGAAGATAAATTAAGGCCCGAGTGTCACTAAAGCCCCATTCAATGCTGCATCCTAAAAAAAAATATTAATTGCAAAATGGTTTTCTAATTACTTTAATAAGGATGCAGCTCCAGTAGGGTGAGATGTGATTTTCTGCAACCACTCTGGCCTTTTTTTCCATGCATTTAAGTGCCATAATGTCACAGTCCAGCGCTGGGGAAGTTTGGGCCACAGTTATATGAGCTCTGTGCTTAATGAGGGGAGCGTTGACATCGTCAGGAGACTCTGCATCAAGTCTGCCCTAGGTTTTTTTGGGAAGTGAACATCCCTGGCCGTCTGGTCACTCATCCCAGCAAGGTCACGCCTGCCATAATTAAAGATTTCGGCTCATCAGGTTGCACCATCAGGGCCCTGCGCTGAAATAATCCCAAACAATATCCTGAATTATTCTGATGATCAAGCTGGCATTCCTGGGGAAGGAGAAACACACAAGGAAACATGGGTGTTCTTAAAATCCCTGGACACAGAGAGGGTTGAAAGCTTGGAGGGATGCAACTCCTGAGTTCAGATGTTAAATATGACGAGGATTAGGATGCTGCAAAAATAAGGATGAAGGCAATGGTGTGCATCCATCCTGGCCGGGTGCCACATGGCGAAGAGCCCCAAAAGGACAGGGCGAAAATTAACAAGAGCCATCCGACACAGAGGCCTGGTGGCATCCAGAGTTGGGTTAATGGAGCTCTGCAGCAGCAGCTGGCGGCTGCCTTGGTGAAAATTCCAGGATTTTACCCCAAATGAGATGCTAAAACACACCACTTCAACATCACCTGGTGTAAACTGCCACTGCTGCCGCTGCCCCCAAGTTTTTAACTATCCCAGTTGTAGGTGCTCTTCTGCTTTCTGAACCTCAAAATGGCAGCTCCAGTTGGTTTCATCAAACATAAAATCCCCCCGTCAGGAGTCACCCCAGTTTTGCAAAGCCAGTTGGTACCTTTGCATAGTTTCAAAATGTGCCTAAAAATGCCATTTTTCTATGAAAAAGCCCCCCCATGTGCACTGCGTTGGAAGGTAAGGCTTGGAGGTCAGGTAGCTTCTTAAAAAGATACATTCTGCAGACTTTTTTTAATGCATTTTCCCTTCTTTTATCTTTTAGGGAGAACAAGGGTGAACAGCTCCAGGGTGGGGATAGCACATAGGAATTTCTCATGCCTCCTGGAAGAATGTACGGGTCAATATTTCCACTCCTAGGCAGAAAGAGAAATATATTTACAATGAGAAAACCCTTGTTCCTGTGTCCAAAATTATTATCTCCTTCTTTTTTTTTTTTTTGTTTTTTTGTAACGGGCACGGGCAGTTTTTGAGGGAGACGCTGGATGTGTGCAAATGAAACCGCGGGATGCGATGATCGGTGAAGGATGCGGTGCCGGACAAGAGGTGTCCAGAGGCATTTTAAATAAAAGAAGGGATTTTCCTGTGATATTACAAGGCCTGCTCCCCTGGTTTGCTGGGTAAATCCATATTCCTGTGGTTTAACACCCAGAAGAGTTGGAGCTCTCCGGCACAATGAATATGCAAAGCGCAGCATCCTGGTGCCGGATAGACCAGTGGGAGCTCCAGCACTGCCCTTCCCATCCAGCCACTGATCTCCAACAGCCACAGTCACCTTCCACTTCTTATGTATGTAAAATATATTTGTTTTCATCTGCATTATCCATTCATAATTGGATACTAGATTACTATACGTGTGTGTGTGTGTGTGTGTGTGTGTCTCCATCCACATTATCCAATCACATCCATCCCATAATCCAACAGACAGATTATTCAAGTATTATACATATATTAGAGATATCTATTAGATATATATACATATCTTCATCCACGTTATCCAACTAAATCCATCCAAGATATCAATAATTGGATCATTTTATATACATATTTCATGGGTAGAATTTGACAATATGGATGGAGTCATACATATATTTAATATTAAAAGAACATTTATATACCCATCCTATATGTATAAAAAGATATAGGGAAGAAAAGCAGAGAGGGGATATGTATAAAGAATATATGTATCTATTGGATTAATACATTGGATATGTTATACTATATATATCCAATGGTTATATAATATTGATACATTCATATGGCCATATTATATAGATACACTATATCCTATAATATAGCCAATGGATGGATAAAATGTAATAAACATTCAATGTGTACATTGTATATTTATATTGTATACATTCAAACATATTCAATGTGTACCTAATGTGTATATATATCTATATCTCCAACAGAATAGATCCAGTGGATGGATATAATGTAATACAGAATACAGATACTATAACCTGTATATCTAATATATATATATATCCTGCTTTCCATAAGAATTAACCTTTTCTGCTACTGCTTTTCATTTATTTATCACACTTTGACAGTTTTCCCCAAAAAACAAACTTTCCTCAAATCTTTGGCTTCTCCCCCTCACCCACACTGGGGATAATTGGCATTTTCCTATGATGGGCGACTCCCAGGTTAAAGAGTTTTCCCCTCCATTTTGGGGTGCATCTTGTTGCCAAAATCAGCTATTTCTGGAGATGCAACCAGTGTAACACTTAAGAAATCAAATTGGCCATTTCAACCTGGGTTTTACCCATTTTTAGACCTCTACCCAATCACCTGCTAATTGTGGAGGTGAATCTGGCTCTGAGTGTATATAGCTACATATCCATAGCAATATGATTAATAGTCTTACAAATAATCCATACTATATAATATATAACAATATATGATAGATACCAAGCATTATATATCAATCTAATACATATTCTGTAATCAACAGATCATTATCTACCAAAGTATTATATTATATTCTATAATCAGTATGTCAAGCATTATAAATCAATATATAAGTGTGAATACATTATAGCAATCAGTATATTACATACTTCTATAATATAGGATTATATAAAGTAGCTATTTAAATATTATAAATACATGTGTATTCCAGTCACTTATTATATATTGTATATCAATGTTATTATATTGCTATGTATCATATTGCTATGTATCATTTCTATAACACATAAATGTATATTTATGGCAATAAATACAGTTTCAGTATATACACACAAAAAAAAAAGGGGTAGGGGGGGAAAGCCAGTTTTTGCAAGCCAGCAAGAATTCAGAGAAAAATAATTCTTAAAAATTCCCAAACCTCCCAAAATATTTGGAGGAAAAACCACCTAACACCTCAGTAAACACCCGGGTCATCAACACACACCCCCACTCTGAGCCCATCACACTGGGGCAAGTTATCCCAATAAGATAAAAGAAGTTGTTTAAATCTCTCCCTTTTTTTTTTTTTTCCTTTTTTTTTCTTTTTCTTTTTTTTTTTTTTGCCCACAGAGCTGGAGCTGGGAATCCATTAGCCTTTAATGAAGTGAAACCCTCATCTTGCCGGAGCCACCTCATTTAGCGCAATTGTTTCGCAGCCATTACGGAAAGACAATTACAAGGAAGCGGCGAGAGTAATTGGAAATGCTGGCGGGAGTTGGGCGAAATGATAATAAATAAAAATATTCCCCCTAATAAGCTTGCCAGGAGGGGGGTGGGCTGGAGAAAATCAACATAATTAGAACTGAACCTCGGCGAGGAAAAACAGACAGCGGGGTGGCAAGCGCTTGGCGTGGAGGAGAGAGGGGAAAAGTGGAGGAAACTTCATTTTTTTCACCCAAAAAGCAGCAGGAAAAATGCTTTTCCCACCTGTGTGCCAGCTATCAGGAGGAAAAAAACCGCTGGAGTGGGAGATGCTGTCCACAGGGATGCCTGGGATGCTCCTCCATCACCTGCTCCAGGCTGGAATTAAAGCCAAAAAAAAAAAAAAGCTTAAAAGTGAGACAGTTTTGCTAACGGGATGTCATCAAGGAGCATCACTGTGTACCTGGAATTTCTCTGCATCAGAGGGGTGGGTTTTTTACACGGAAAAGACAATTATTTTTGCAAAACTTGTAGTATGTACGTTATCCTTAGGAATAGAAAGCATTACAGGTGGGGATTTCCCGGGGAAAAAGGGTTAAATCTCATTCAAAACCCAACACAAGCAGCTGTTGGTGGGTTCCTTCTTGCTCCTGAAATCCTGGGTTTTCCCCAAATAAGCCCTGCTCCCAGCACAAACATCCATGCTCTGTCCCTATCCTCACCCCATCCCAACGCTGCTTTAGCAGCCTCTCCAAAACAGTCTACAGCAAAAAAAGTCCTTTAAATTAGTGTTTTGCACCCAAAAAAACCATTCAAGCAAAGGTTTGCAGCAAAAAAGGTCCTTCAAGCAGGGCTTTGCACCCAAAAAAGTCCTTAAAACAGGGCTTGCACCCAAAAAAGTATTTTTAATGGGGGTTTTCAGGAAAAAAAAAGCATAGTCCTTAAAACAGGGCTTTGCAGAAAAGAAGTCCTTCACTTAGGGGTTTGCACTAATGGTCTTCAAAAAGAGATTTGCACCCCAAAAAAATCTTTCAAGAAAGGGCCTGCAGCAAAAAAAAAGCCCTTAAAACAGCAGGTTTGCATCAAAAACAGTCTTTCAAACAGGTTTTGCGCCATAAAATATCCTTTAAATGGATGTTTCCACCAAAAACAGCCCCCCAAACATGCAGCTTTGCAACAAAAAACACTTTAAACTTTGGGATTTACAGCCAAAACGGGCTTTCAAACAGGTGTTTGCACCAAAAAAAAGGCCTTAAACCAGGGGTTGTATGCAAAAAGCCCCCTCAGCACCTTCCTCCTCTGCTTCCATTCTCTGGACACGAAATATTTGCCCCAAAATCCACCTCTGGCAGTTGACAAGAACATTCCAAAGGGTTGAATTAAACCCCTATCCCATCACAGCAAATGCTTTCCCAATACAGGTGAAATACCACCAAGGGAACTCTGCTTCTCTTTAAAATTCCTTTCCTACTTGGAGTCTCTGCAATCCCGCTGTGGGCAGGTGGGATAAGTCAACAATGCTGGGAGCATCCCAAGCCCTGACAGGGATGCTCCCAAATATAAAACACCCGCCAAAATAACAAAATAGCCCCCGAGTTCATAAAATATCCCCCCCTCAATAATAAAAATACCCCAAAACATAATAAACCGCTCCCAAATAAATAAAAAACACCTATAAAGGATGAAATACCCCAAATCTCTGCCCCAGCCCTCTGGAGTGAAGGCAACTTTCATTTAAAAACCACGCACGTTTTTTTCCTTGCCAGTTCCCAACTCTGCTAAGATCATTATCACAGAATGAGAGCAGAGATAAAACACTTTTATTTTCTTTCCTTTTCCTTCTCATGCGTTTTTTTAGCGGTGCGTCCCCCCCTCCCGGCTCCCATGGAAGTCACCTCATGTTGGGAGTTAATGTTTCGTTAATACATAGGGTTTTTTGTTAATTTATTTTACTTTTATTTTACTTTTCCATATTTCTCCTCTGTCACTAATTATTTTGCTCCCAAAGGGATTGTTACAATTCTCCCTGTAACTTTTTTAGCCTCAGTGCCTTCCATAAGCCACAGGTGATGCTCACACTGCACAATAATGCGCTATTAAATAATACTAAATAATAATAAATTATTTAAAATTTTTTCAAATACATTAAATATTACTGAACAGTATAAAATACTATTAGATCTTATTCAATGTCCGTCCAAAGCCACATGCACAAATATTTAGGAACTGTGAAATGCTGGGACGCTGCACTGGGTACTGGCGGGCTGAGTCTTGATGGGAAGACATTGGGCAAAGATCTGGAAAACTGGGGGGAAATTGGGCTATTTTGGAGCTTTTTAGATCACTGCTGATGGCAGAGGGAAGAGGGAGGCAGTTGTGGAGCATGGTGGGAGCCTGTGTGGAACAGTGTGTGGGAATGTGTGTGGAAGCATGAATGGGAGATGGGGTGTGCAAGGAGTGAGCACAGAGAGTGTCCCTCTCTCCCACTCAAAATCCCGTTAGATTTGCTGGAAAATTCCCTTAATAATGTATTATGTTTAAATATACAATTATAAATATTTTTATATATTTTATATATATATATATAATTCTGTATTTATATTATATGTATTACCTATATGTTTAACTATATACTATATGTATTATAAATACAGAAGAGGTTATTTCTTATATATACACACTATTTAATTACATTTTATCTGTGTTTTATTACATATAATAGATATACAGAGATAATATATCTTATCCTATAATATATATTCTATTATATATAATAGAGATATATTCTATATTATCTATTCTCTATTACCACAATTTATAATCATAAATATTATATATCCTATAGCTATGACATATTACATATCACCTATTACAATCTATATCATCATATATTTTATAGATATGATTATTATATATCATATATCACAGATATGCTAAATCATATATCATATTATTATATAAATGCATGTATGATATGTATTTTATGCAAACCTCATGGTTCAGCCCCTATTTTATACAAAATACACGTATTTTAAGTTCCAAGCTACAGTTCAGCCCCTAAAGACACCCAAAAAGCTGTAAAAAAAAAAAAAAAAAAAACCTGCAAAACCTGAGGGATCATTTCTCATTGGACACAAATCTGGAAGAATAATATCTGAGATGGAACAGATCCCCAGTCCGGATCTCAAGCAACATTTATTGAGAAATAATATTTGAAGTATTTGGGAATATCTCATTTACAAGGATCTATTTATTCCATGGTATTCTATTTAATCCAAAGTGAATTTGCTCAGAGATTCCCAGGGAAGCTGACAGAAATCGAGATTTTTAAGAGAAAAACCGACACTGCGCTAGAGAGATATCCAACTTGGGAGTGAAAGGGACTTTCCAGAATTTGCAAGAATTTCCTTCCTGAATTAATTTTCCTGAATTTCATTCATCCTGAATAGATTTTCCCTGATTTCCTGAATTTCCTGATTTCATTTTCTTGAATTTCCTGATTTTGCAGGATTCTGCTCTCCTGGCAGTGTGGCTCTTCGGAGAAAAAACAATTTATTCTTCAACAAACCCATCTTTTGCTGCAACACTCCAAGAACCTGATGATGATTTGGGAAATATTTTAGAGCCTCAAAACCCCCCTCTGATTTTTCCCGATCAAGCAACCTCAGCTAAACCAAAACCCTCCTGATTTCGGCACTTTACACCAGAAATCCGTCCATTTTTTGATGCACGAGGTCACAAAAGGGGATGCAGGCAGCAACTCACCGATATTTTGGGGGGATGTAAAAGTTTTTTAGGGTTGCAAGAACTAATTAATTTGCCAAAGGGATGTTTGCATCCCGCATTCCCAGTGGGGATTTTTTCAGTAGCCAAGTGGAAAGGTTTATTTAGCCGGGAGCAGAGCTGGCTTTCACAAACATTTCCCCTTATCCAGCAGGGAGAACCACACCATCCGAAAGGAGATTTAATTAGTGAAAATCTCGTTAGGCAAACGAAATTATCTGTAAGACAATCCTGCTCTGGACAGGGGGGGGTGATTAACCAGAGCCATTAATCGAGAGCAGCGCTCCGACAGGCAGCTCGGCTGGAGGACGAGGGGGATCTTTCTTGGGGGGGGGTGTTAATTGTAAGACACACACACACACTGTGCTCACTGAAAAGCCCTTGAGCATCTCATCAGCACACCTTGATTGCATCATGCAAATTGCAATTAGTTTTTAGTTTCATCACCCCAGAAAATAGGAGAAAAATGTCCTGTATTTTGGAGGTGCGGGCGCAGCAACCCCTCAACACTCAGAGGGGTCAGACCGGTGCCCGCAGCCCACTGCTGAGCACTAAGTGACGCAAGTGGGAATTTTTTTTAAGTTATTTTGTTATTATTTCTGTCTCTTACATAAGGGTTTTTTACCCTAAGTGTGTTCACACTGGCCCCGAACAACACCTGGGAGCGCCGTGGCTTCCACGTGTCGTAACGCTAAGGGCGTTCATTCTGGCAGCATGGCACTACAGGGAAAGATAAAATTGCTGAGAGCACAAGCTGCTGTACTTCAGAATTCCCTGGGATTGAACCCTGGAGGTGATAACAACCAGCTGGAGGAGCGGGGAAGAACCCGCTGTTCTTTTAACCTTTCGTTTCAGTAGGGTATCACCTATAAAAAAACATCAATTAAGGGCAAGGGAAGCCTTCCCATTGCCAGAAGGTGCTCCGAGATGCCTTAGAAACTGGGTGTGGGGGAAGCAAAAACCTCATAAAATCACTACCCAGTGAACACTTCATGGCTTTTATATCTATAATTATATTTATATTTACATATCTCTTGCTCAAGACGGATCCCTGGGGACTTCACTTCTGCTGGGGACCTCCCCCCGGCAGCATCCTCCAACTCCAAGTCTGAGCATCCCTAAAATGATGCTTCCCACCCCAGTCAGTTCCCAAGTTGCCCGGAGGAAAGACATAATAACGCCATCACCACCTGGGAAACTGGGAAATTTGTGGGTTTTTTAGATACAGGGTGAAGGCAAGTTCATCAAGATCTACCCAGGGATGCACTGGGTCCCAGGGGGAGAGAGATGATGGAGCGGGGTGACCATGGATACTAAAGGAATCACCCACCTGATGTCAGGCAGAGCAACAGGTAATTAAGAAATCCCAACTAAATCCAAGCTGGCAGAGCCCCAACGTATATATACCCCGATATATTACATTCCCGAATAGATTGTTCCACTATATTCCCCAATATTCCATATCTGCATACATACATATGTATAAAATAATATATTCCCCAATACAAATGGGGTATATTATCTAATACTATATAATACTTTTCAATACATATAATGTTCCCCAATATTTTATATTCTCAATATACTACACAGTA